TTTCCATCTCTTATTCGAGGGGTCCACTCTCTAGTTTTTACGTTCCAAACAAATTTTGACGTTGCCTCCACATAAGTTAGCTCTCTGGCCTCTGGGTACATCTTATTCGCCTCAAACCAAGCAAGAAATTGACTCTGATTCACAGTTGGTTTATTCAAAATATCTTCCAAATCATCGTCATCTTCAAAAAGTATGTTCTTCTGGTCTTTGAGATGAAAACATAATCGTTGTACTGCAGGCCTCTTATACTGCAGCTCAAAACCCAACAATCGCCAAGCAGCCTCACACGAAGACACATAACGACAATCATAGTACATGTTGATCTCATCTAACGGCTTTTCAACATCTCCGTCAGCAGAAGTTTGATAGAATGACGCAGTTACACGATCATTTCCTTTGTTAACATACTTGAATAAGTACTTTATGGATCGTGATTGATTGCACCACTCAACGTTAAGATGAGCTCCGTATTTCATGAGCAAACGCGATTATGGGGCACAACATAACCATTATTGAGGAAGACACCGTTCTTCTCAATATATTTACCATCTTCTCGACGCCTGTATCGTGGATACCCATCCTCATCTACACAGGTGGTAGCGACAAACTTTTTTGGAAATCGTTTGCTGCATTTGCCGTTTACCATGCACGGTGAAGAAGTTCTTGCAGCACCACACGGTCCGTGCATCATATGTTCCTTAACCGCTTGATAATACATAGGATCGGACGTCTCATCCAGTATCTCAGCAGATATTATCGAATCAATGTCCCATGGGTCGAGAAACTTATTCTCCTTGTCAAGGAAAAGCAGTATGTGAGCATGTGGCAGTCCACGCTTTTGGAATTCAATGGTGTAGACGACTGAAAAATAAAAACAAAAGAAAATGATAAATATGGTTATTACATGATAGATTTGGAAATTTTTTTAATTAAGAAAAATTAATGAAATTAATATAAAAATTAAAATATAAAAGTAAGTGTTTCACCTGCTTTGACCTTCCCAAATA